ACACATAATCTAAAAATGCAACTGTAAGAAAAATCAATATCTAAGGGGTGAAGAAAAGGAAAGGAAAAACTTTAAAAACTGTCAGAATGTCAAGGAAGAATTAGCATTAAGATAGCGTAAAGAGTTAACCATGAAGACAATATCTAGGAGGATGTGGTCAACAATGTTGGGTTGCTAAGAGGTCCTGTAGGTTGGTGATTAAGAAAATTAGATAATAATTAGAGCTCATTAAAGATCTCTGAGACAGGACTTTTAGAAGATTAATGAAAGGGGCAAATAGGAATCATGTTACAGGGTTAACAGCACATGGCTAAGAAGTTCAGGAAATGAGTGTACGTAACTCTTTTAAGGGCTTGATGTCAAGGAATATGTAACATGGAATGGTAACTCAAAGGGGGAATAAAATGGAGGAACATTTATTTATTTATTTATTTTTTGTTTGCTTCTAGTTTATTTTGTTTTCTTCTTAGGGATAAGGAAGAATCCCATCTGATGGGATGGGAATGTGTGAAGATAAAGGAGAAAAGGAAGAGAGGGTATATAGAAATAAATGGAACCCCCAGTGGAAGAGTCTACCTTGGAAAGGAAGAAATTTCCACCTTCTTCTGAGAAGGAGAGATGAGGAGAAGATGGGTAGGGGAGGGGAGATATTACCATAGAAGAAACTGTAGGAGGTGAGGTCGTTGATAAGGGTAGTGAAGGCAAGCGTGAAACAGATATAAATAGAGTGGAAAATATTCTGAATAATCATGTAGAGAAAATGGACTCAAGTTAGGAATTTAAAAAATATGCAGGAGCTTTGAAGCTTACCTTATTTAATGAGAGAAGCACATATGCCAACTTCAAACCAGATTTAAAATTGGATCAATGTGCTATACAAATTCTTTAGTTATATAAACCTAATAGTTGAAGACATCTTCTTCTATTGCAGCAGAAATAAAAAATATAAATCTTTATATAACTTATGTGTTAAGTTCTCCCTTAAATTCTTGCTTGGATGAAGGGTACAGAGAGAACTGTGGCTTCTATGTCTAGCTCAGGAAGTGATCATAAAGATTTCTTCCATTTGTATAGGGCTTTATTGTTTAGAAAATATGTTAACTCATGTTACCTTACATTCCAAAAGGACTGGAAGGAAGAAAAATCTTGAGTGTAAATCACACTGCAAAAATATTTTTGGAGAAGGGAAAGAGTCTCTCATGCTGTATAACTGACATTTCCAGAAAGCATAGAAAAGAGGGCCGGGTGTGGTGGCTCCAGTTTGTAATCCCAGCACTTTGGGAGGCCGAAGTGGGTGGATCACCTGAGGTCAGGAGTTCCAGACCAGCCTGGTCAGAATGGGGAAATTCCATCTCTATTAAAAATACAAAAGTTAGCCAGGTGTGGTGGCAGGTCCCTGTAATTCCAGCTACTAGGAAGGCTGAGGCAGGACAATCGTTTGAACTCGGGTGGTTGAGGTTGCAGTGAGCAGAGATCACGCCACTGCACTCCAGCCTGGGCGACAGAGTAAGACTTTATTTTAAAAAGAAAAGAAAAGAAAAACAGAAAAGAAAAGGAAAAAAGAAAAGAAAAGAAAAAGATGAATCCTCAAGGGCAGCTCAGAGTTCTTCTAAGTCCTTGTTAAAGAAGCCTGTTCCAGGTTAGGCACATGTTCTTGGGATTTGATATTTTGCCAGTGGAAATATTTCTTTCTCTTTGGATTTATGTAGGATGCCCAGAATGCTCGGAGCTTCTTGAAATCTCAATTAGGGCTTTTACATAGTATACCAATAACAATTTCTTACACAGCTTTGAGCTCTTTTCCAGGAATGGGGATGAGGTTTTGCATATAAAGCCAATTTTTTGTGTAAACATTTTGAATCATCTGGTTGACATTTAGGTTATTGATTCATACTATCAGAATCACTAGCTACAGAGTTCTGAAGGATTGGTTTTGGCCTTGACACTCTTATCAAAAACTGAGCAAACAGCACTGTAGAGGGCTCTTTAGGGCCTTATACACTAGTTTCTAATTCTCCTCTTTCACATTTGTTACTTAGGAATGTGGCTTGTTGGATTTTCCTTATTTAGAAGGTTTGTTTATAATAATCACTTTATGTTTTACATCCTTTACAGTTTTATATATTCTATTTTTCTCTTAGTGAATTCCTACGAAGTATGCAGGGAAGGGCAATGCTATTTTTTTCAACAGAAAAATAATCCTGTGGTGAAGATGATTTGCTCAGGGTCTTACAGCTAGCCACCAGGGAAGCCAGGATTTGAACCCCCATCGTCTCATACCTGCTTTTAACCTGACATTTTGATGCCTGTGCAAGTCATGGAACTTGATTTTAGAGTAATAACAGAAAGGAATTATATTTATGTTAAATAGAATAAGATACACTTTCCATTTTTAATGTCTAAAATGGTTGAATATTGGCAATATCCTGTAGTTCTACCCAATATAGACAGCCGAGTACTGTGGGGAAATAGTGTAGATTTTAGAGTCTGACTAGCCTAAGCTAGAATCCCAGCTGCATCTCATGTCAGAATTGAATTACTTCTATATTGTTTAACTTTTCTAAGCCTTTGTTTCCTCACTGTAAAAAATGGTTGAGAATGGTACCTCCTTTAAAGGTCCTTATGAAGAGCACACAGTGCCATGTCTGCAAAAAACCTATCTCAGTATATGATGCATAGTAAGTTATAAATAGAACACAGCAAATATTATTGCAAATAAGGGATTAACAAATACCAAACTGGAAAGCAAAAGGAGCATTTTAATTGTTTGTTGTATGCTTAATATTGTATTTTTAGATAAGAAACAATTTGTCATTCTTCTTAAATACTGAATACTATTTTTTAGTACTGAGTGCTATTTTTTAATTTGTAGATTATTTGGCTATGTGTGGGAGAAGAAGGACATTATTGATCATTTCTATTTTCTGTCTCTTATACATATTTTCTTTTTTTCTATAATAAATAAGAAGTGTTTTTATAGTGGATATGAAGCTGTAAGATAAAAATTGGTTTAAGCATTAAATGATAAAATATTAAGAATGTGAAAAAGGGACAACTTCCTAAAAAAATTGATAGTCTTTGGCTGAACAGGAGAGTTTGATATTTAAAGTAAAAATCCGTGTACATCTTCCATCTGCTCATGTGCATTCACTCGGTCATTTATACATTTATTCATTCATTCAACAAATAATATTTAAGTGCCACCATGTTTCAGGAGCTGTGAGGAGATTAAAAAAAGATGGAATACTTAATTCATAATGGGTTATTGATGACATCTTTTCCTCAGAATATTGAAATACCAGGAAGATGCACCCATCTTGGGCAGTCAGATGTGTATACTTTACATGCACATTTGAGCTCACTAAACAAGAATAGGAAATAGAAACTCAGCTTCAGGAAAATAATAGATTATTTCCATCATACATTCAATGGCTACTGGAAGACTAACTTATAAAAATATAGGTGGTATATTTGCCATTGAAAAATCTTACAAAAATGCTAATAGGTACTAACTGTCATTAAAACACTGAATGTTATTACTAAAGAAAGTAATAATTAAGGGAATTCATGCAAGGAAAAATAAAATTATAGGTTTAATGGAAAGAATGTTTACCTTAGGATAGAGAAACGCATAACTAAAATTTGAGAAATCTTTGAAATGATGAACAGTCATTGACCTGTTACGGGTTCTGCACTGTGCTTGCCAAAGTGCCCAAAGAGTATATTTCCCTTTCTCTTTTCATGGTGTAGGTCAAAGTAAAAACATTTTCTCATTCAATGTTTTAAGTTTTGGTTAAATGGCATTGGCATTTATTGATTTTTCAAATATTATGATTAGAAAAAAATAGATTTTTTTTCAGATGGTATCTGCAACATAATTGGCAGCTGAATTTAAATTCTGCTTCTGCCCTAATTAGTTGTATAATCTCAGGCCAGTCACTGGACAGTTCTGAGCTTCAGTTTTCTCGTCTATTAATTAGGCACAATGATTTCTAAGATACAGGATGGTTGTGAGGATGAGTGTTGTGAGATAAAGAACATGTCTAGGAGAGTATCTAGGACACAGAAGAGACTCAAATGTTATCCCTCTCATTCAAAAAATATTTGATGCATGAAATGTGTGGTTTTCAAAAAATTGCTGCTATTTTAGTTCTACTTTTGATTATTTCTTAGAATATTTTTTTCCTCCTTGGAAATATGTAACCAAGTTTACGTACAAGTAAAATGGGTAATAAGATTTAATTCTTTAATTTTATTATTTTTTCCAGCTGTTGTTTTAGAAAAATGTTTATTTTTTTTAAAACAATACGTGATCTTGGATGTTTGCAAACATTTTTTCATGACACAAGGAGACATCGATACTAACTTGTCCTTCATTCAACATTTATTAAGTACCTACTGTGCTCCAGGAATGATTCTGGGACTATGTACACAGTGGTGAATGAGACAGACATGGTCTCTGCTCTCATGAAGTATGAGAAGTGCCATAAAGTAAAAAAGACAGGGTGTCGTGATAGAGAATAATAGGGAAGTACAACTCTGGATTGGGTGGACAGGGAACTCCTCCCTGAGGAAGAGACATGTCAGTTAAGATGGAAAGAATAAGAAAGAGCCAGCCATGAGAGAGTGATGAAGAGTAGTAAGCCAAATGCCCTAAGGTCAGAAAGATGTGTTTGAGGAAATGATAAAGGTCAGTGTGGCTGGAGCACAGGAAGGCTGGAAAAAGTAGTGTGTGAAACAGCAAAAGACTAGCCCTGGAACTGATCATGCAGGGCCTTGTAGATCATGGCAAAGAGGATGGCTTTTCCTTTAAACATGGGAAAGCTATTGATAGAAAGTCAAAATTATAAAAGATCTGTCCCCTGTGATGTAATTTAGAAACATGAGTTAGGGATGATCACAACTTGGACTAGGTTGGTGACGTTCTCTGTGAGATGCACAGAGAAGCAAGTAGAAGAGTCATCTGTTTTGAAGATAAAAAGTGTAGGCTGCTAGTGAGCTGTTGGTCTGGTGGTCCCAGAGTGATCCCGGTGGCCAGTGGGGAAGACAAGGAGGGTTTGAGCATGGCAGAAGGAGACACCCTGATATCAGTGGATTACGAAATTTTTGGGAAGGTGCAAGGGGTGTTTTTCCATAAGCATACTCAGGCTGAGGGTAAAAAGCTGGGATTGGTAGGCTGGGTCCAGAACGCTGACCGGAGCACAGTGCAAGGACAATTGCAAGGTCCCATCTTCAAGGAGCATCATATGCAGGAATGGCTTGAAACAAGGGGAAGTCCCAAATCACACATCGACAAAGCAAACTTCAACAATGAGAAAGTCATCTTAAAGTTGGATTACTCAGACTTCCAAATTGTAAAAGAATGGCCTGAATTTAAGTTTTCTAAGATAAACTCAGTTGTTTGGTTTTTCTTGTTAATAGAGATAGAACTATTGTGTGTTAATATTAGTATTAGTCAATAAGTTATTTTAGTGTCAGATATTTGAATGTTATTATATATTACCTGTATGATGGAAGGATTACAGCTGTACACAAATCTAATCAACAAAAACGTTAGAACCATATATATATATCTATATATATATATATGCTTTTTCTTTTTTTTTCCTAGCATGAAATGGCTATGAGAGCTAAAGGAGATAGATGAATTCAGAACTATTTTGCAAGTTTCTGGCTTGAAAAATTGGATAGTTCTTGGTATCATTTGCTAAAACGGGGGCAAGTGAAGAAGGAGTAAGATGGTTATATTTTGTTTTCGGTGAGGGAAGATTAAAAGTTCTGTGTGGAGCATGTTAAACTGGAAATACCTGTGAGACATTCAAGTAGAGACAGCAAGTTGGCAACTAGTTCAGAACACACCATTCACTTGCTCAAACCCTCTATTGGTTCGTATCCTCGTTAGAATAAAATCTAAAATTCTTATAATGGCTGACAAGTCTTGTTTTGGCCTCCACTCTCTTCTCAGATTCCATCTGCCTGCTTTCTTTCCCTCATTCACTGTGCTTCAGGCACATTTGTCTTCTTACTCATCACGGAAACTTGCCATGCCGTTCCTGTTCCAGAACATTTGAACTCACTGTTCTTTGTGCTAGATAGCCTCTTCCCATGATCTTTGCTTGGCTCTATGGCTTATTCCATGCAGGTCTCTGATCAAATATTACCTCTTCAGAAATTCCTCCCTGATCACTCAACTTGAATGGCTTCTACCTTCAACTTCAACACTCTCTCCCCATATCCTGCTTAATTTTTCCCTAGCAATGAATGCTTCCAACATATATGAATATTTTACTTTATTTTGTTTATGACCTGATTGCCCACTTAAAAATAAGCCCCATGAAGGCAGGAACTTTGTCAACTCTCCATTATATCTCCCATACCCAAGATAATACCTAGTATATTGTGGATACCCAATAATTGAATAAATATTAACTGAATGAATGATTATGATAGTCAGAGTGCATAGGAATGGTTGCAACTAGAATGTGCATGTGGGAGCCAAGTAGATGGTATGTGAAACTCCAGTGATAGCTGAGATGATCCAGGGAGAGTATGTATTATGAGTAGGGGTGTGCCAAAACTTAGTGCTGACAGACTCCCAACATTCAGAGGTTGGACTGAGGCAGCGAGGGAGGGTCAAAGCCAATAGAGACTAAAGGGTGACAATAAAAGAAGACTGGAAGATCTGGGAGGTAAACCAGGGGAGCAAAGAGGCATGATTCCAAAAAGAGAGTGCTATAGGATGGTGGAAGCAATCCCTTCTCACTAGATCTTTCTCCAACAAAGTTATTTATTAACTGTCACGTTATTACTGAGTTAATTTCTTGGCATAAGTAAAACCTAGTCATACATAGACTATTCCTTATACATGGAGATAAAGTATTCAAATAATTAATTGATGTTGTACATCATAATTACAGTCCTTTTATCAATCTCTTTTCCTATTACTGTTTATTGAGATACCTATTTACCAAATATGTACAAATATCTTTGTTTTTAAACTGTTCCATAAGATTATTTTTGTTCCTGCTGTCTGCTTTTTGTCGTTGTTTGATATCACCATGTAGTTGTGATGAAAAACTGGATCGAGGGTAGGAAAGGGAAATGGTGAAGTCAAAGTAGCATCGGAATAGTTCATTTAGCTTTTAGAGACAGGCTACTAAAGAAAATGGTGTTGCCACTGATTACTTATGTACTAGTATCCTGAAAGTAACAAATACAGTATAGTAAGATCATAAAATCTGCTCAAAAACAGTGGGATAGATATTAATATTTAATCTACCAATATAGATGTAATAAATCAACCTTTCAGCTTGGGTATTACTTTAAAAAGTCTAAGTTTGACGTGATTTTCCAAAACATCATCAAAAAATTAATTTTACTTCATTGTTGGTGTCACCAAATAATTTCCTTCATTTTGAACTACTTCAAGAAGGTTTTTAAGAAATAGAGCCAAACACATATTTTCATGGTTGATTTTATCTGTCTTCTAATATCCTGACATTTTGTTACTCAGAAATGTATTTGAAGCCACAGTCACCTTCCGCCACTGGTAAATGCCTGTTATTTGCTTCTTTCAGAAGAAACTGTCTTTTCAGTTCAGGCATCAAATACTGTTTCAACACTTTTCTTTGCCATGAAGGAAATGCTGCACTCTGGCATTATGGCAAATCATATACAATTACAGATTTTGCCTGAAGTTATTCCTTACTGGTCCAGGAATTGTTTATATTGCATAGAAACAGCTTAAGTAAAGTCATACAATTAATTAATATTAACTTTAAGATATCAACAAAATGGTTTCTCTTATAATTATTGTTTTGGATACAGGTAGGACAAAGTGTTCTGAATTTGTACCTTCATATACTTTTAGTTTGAAAATGTAAGGAATAAAGACCTAAAAACCTTGAGTCTTCTTGCTGTACATGGAGACTGTTCTCTCTCTCTTCCTTTGCTCTTTCCTCTTTATCTTTTTCTCTTTTGTTTCATAAAGATTTAAAGTCACACACAAAGATATTAAAAAACAAGTTAAAATGAATGTTAGACCAGCAAGACATGTGACACAAAGCAAAAAATAAATGGCAGGAGAGTAAAACTAAATTAGGAGTGAGATTAAATCCTCAAATTGTAGCTACAAAACCCCGAGTACTTGTTAGAGGTAGACAGTCGATGCGAAACTAGGGCTTCTAACTGGCAATGTGAGGAAGGAAACACAGTATGTTTTTTAATAAGGAGAAATAATCTGGTATCCTAGGTTAATCACCATTATTCCTTACAGGGACAACAGAAAGATTTCTACACTTGGTCCTTATAGAGTGGAGACTGTGTAGTGTAGTGAACAAAGTTCTCAATAGCATTATCAGCGATTAACATAGGAATTATTCTCATATTGCCTTATAGCATTAAGCCAAAGTACAACTCAGTAAAAGAAATTCAGACCCATGGGGGTGGGGGATTAGAGGGATACTTTTAAAGTGGCCAAGGTGAAATGCCTCCTAGTGAACTATTATTTAGATTAGATAATATTTAGATGAATGGTAAGCTTTATATCTTCTATGGCAGTGATCTTCAAACTACAGTTTGCATCTGTTAGTGGGTAAAATTATTTCAGCACATTGCAACCAACTTAAAAAAAATAGAATAAACAAGAATAGTTTGAAACTGAAAAATCAGAGTGTTTTGATAAATATGTTAATATTTACTTCCATTGCGTGTACTGGGTCATGATGCAAAATGTACCTCCCCGTGTGGGTCTATTTAAAGCGTTTGGAACATGCTGCACTGAGGTAATTTTCATAGATTATCTTCTTTGCCTGATTTTGGGGAAGGTATTGCTTGGGAGTAACACAGATTATACCTCTTTGCAAGCACCTTGAGAGCTGCAATTCTGAGTTCAATTGTCAGTTAGGGCCCAGAGAGATGGGAATGGAGAGAGAAGTATTGAAATGCCTTTGGAGAAATGGAGATTACTGATCTACACCGCTATGTGTTGGTGAATCAAGACGGCATGCACCAGGGGTCCAGGAGACTTTGTTGAAACGAAAGAAAAACCTATATAATTGAATGCATAGCTTAGTATGGAGCATCTGCTATAACCCAGTTAAAAGTTGGAAGTCATCCATCCAAAATACTAATTTTGGGTCTTTTTTCCAGTGATTTCACTGCAGGTCCAGTGATAAGTGATAAGATAACTGCATAACTGTGATAAAGTAACATCATGCACAACCACAAGATTAACCCTAGAAAAGAGTACCCTTTCTTTCCACAAGGCAAGTCTCACTGATGCAAAAATCTATTTTCTTTCCTGAGAATTTGATTAGATTTCACCAACCACAATTAGAAAACTCAATCTTTTTCATTCTCACACGCTTCAAAAGTAATTGAGTGTTGAAGTGCTACAATTAGCAATGCCTCAGAAAATATGACTTCATACATGGTAATTTTACATTCCATTTGCCTCATAATTAAACCCAAGAGATATCACATAAGGGGAGGTTATAACAGCAAATGTCTTGTAAGATCTTCTACTTTAAATATGTACGTATATACATACACACATCGTGAATCATATTTTTCTCTGATCTTGCTTTATCTACCATCTGTAAGCTCCCTAAGGTCAAAAACAATGTTCCGCACTTTTTAAAAGAAAGGGAGTTTACTCAGATATAATCTATGTAGACTGGAGTTCACGCTGTCATGTATAGAGTGCTAATGAACTTTGACAAATGTTTGCTGCATTCTGTAACCACCACTGAAATCAAAGTATAGAGATTTTCCATCACCACCAAAGGGTTCCGTGTGGCCTTTTGTAGTTATCCTCCTTCCAGGCTCACAGTCCTTGGTAAACACTGATCTGTTTTGGTCCAGTTTTGTGTCTTCCAAAATGTCATTTAAGTTGAATCATACGATATGCAGTGTTTTGAGTCTGTCTTTGAGAATCATCCATATTGTCCATGTATCAGTCATTCATTCCTTTCTAATGTTGAGTTGTATTCCATTATATGCTGCTGACTTATCCATTCACCAGTTGATGGACAGTTATATTTTTTTGATTTTTAGTGGTAATAACTAAAGCTGATGTAACTATACACAGATTTTTGTGTAGAAATATGCCTGGGTTTCTCTTGGTTAAATGTCTAGGAGGAAGATTGCTGGCTTATATTGTGAATGTATATTAACTTCATAAGAGTAAGCTCTTCTTGACTATAATCATTTCTCAGTTATTTTTGCCAAGGATCAATGCAGATATGGAGGAAACTGGGTACATGTAAAGGGACAAGCCACCTATCAGCTATTAATTCCAATGAAATTATTACTGGAAAACTTGGGAATTTGACTGAGTTTGCCTTCTACCTCAATGTCTTTGTTTACTATGAATTGGCTACCAATATACAGTGAAATCACCCAAGGGAAGTAGAAAACAAGTTAGAAAAGCAACTGAAAATCTGGTAGATCCATAAGTTGGAAAATAAATGTCTCAAGAAGTAAGAATTAGCTATTAGCTTAAAAATCATGCACAGTTCTTACTTTTATAATCTTCATACTCTGAGGTAGAAAATTGGCA